TTTTATTTGATTGGTTTTGTTAATTTTAAGCATGTTTCAATGATACTATGTACACATAATAATATGGACTTGTTGTTGTTGTCTGAAATAAAATAAATCATTCATTCATTCATAAGCACAATGATCTCTTAACACCATAATAAGGAGGGAAAAAACATCCGTATTGTATTGCGGACAACAACTATATCCATTCCCATTTCGGGTTCACATACACATTTCAATGGAAGGAAACAGTTATTTAGCTCTTTCGTATCACGAATATTTGCATCAGTGTGCTTAGTGCGAGTTTTTTAACGTTATCGATAGCGTAAAAGCTACCTCATTTTTGTATGCAGTTTGAACAGCGCCCCTAGCGGCAAACGTAAGCAAACGATCCCATTTCATACAAACATACTGGTGGTAGGACCTCTTGTAAGTCCGCACGGGTAGGTACCACCGCCCCGCCTATTTCTGCCGTGAAGCAGTAATGCGTTTCGGTTTGAAGGGTGGGACAGCCGTTGTTACTATACTGAGACCTTAGAACTTGTATCTCAGGGTGGGTGGCGCATTTACGTTGTGGATGTCTATGGGCTCCAGTAAGCACTTAACACCGGGTAGGCTGTGAGCTCGTCCACCCATTTAGGCCATAAAAAAAAATTAGCTAACTTTTACGCTATCGAGAACGTTAAAAAGCTCGCACTAAGCTCACTGGTCTGACGAAGTGACGTAATAAAACCAGTGCGTTCCCTTTAACGAAGTTAATTGTTTCTCGTTCGTCGTTACGTCCTGATTATCATATCATTTATGACACAGTATGTTATGATCTCTCGACAATCGAAAAACAAGTGCATCGGGGTTACGGCGCCACGGATTTACGATGTTGTTATGGCTATGTTCCGATATGCACTATGCGAACAGTGCTCTTACTGAAAAGACATTCGTTCCGTCATGGACTGAACGTATACAGTCGCAATGTCCTAAGGAAATATATGACGTCATAAGTCGTGGCCATTTTTCTACTGTGAGCACTGGTCTTTTTTTTATTGCTTAGATGGGTGGACGAGCTCACAGCCCACCTGGTGTTAAGTGGTTACTGGGCCCATAGACATCTACAACGTAAATGCGCCACCCGCCTATAAGTTCTAAGGTCTCAAGTATAGTTACAACGGCTGCTCTATCCTTCAAACCGAAACGCATTACTGCTTCACGGCAAAAATAGGCAGGGTGGGTGGTACCTACCTACCGGCGCGGGCTCACAAGAGGTCCTATCAGCAGTTTGTTGGATGTAAGGTGCTTTTAGTGCTTTGATCATGTGATGATTTTTAGCGTGCAAATTAATGAAACTAGTGGTCACCCAGTAGTCGAAATTCGACTATAATTAATTGAATTTATATAAGCTTGGACATTATTATGGTTCTATTGTCATAGGCCATTTATTAAAGACAACCAACATTTTTTTTTTATTAAGGGATTTTATATCTGGTAATTAAGACCTTTAGGTCATGTCTTATTTTAATTTAAATATGTTTTTTATGAAAAATGATAATATGGAATGAAATTAAATGAAGATGATTAATTTGAGACAATAATCAACTGGGATGAAATATAATCTCAGTAAAATGGTGGTCATTTACTGAGATTGTTTCAGTGGACTTTTTGGAGGATCCCGAGAAGTTACGTCCAGCGGCTTTGTTAAATTTTCTCATATTTGTGAACTTTCACAGATATCAAACAGTTAATAAACCACCATAATTACACATTTAATCCTTTTTTTTTTTTGAAGATACTGTCAATAGACTAAATAAAACAAGTCATATAACTTCACTCCTCGCGTTTCCGCCCAAAAGTCCCCAATATTAATTATGCGTGGGTGTGTCAAAAACATTGTAGTGTGTGTAATAATTTTTTTATTGATTTAATGTATTTTTTTAAATATAACATAATTTAATGAATATATTTTTGTTGAAGTGAAAACAATTCTAAAAAACGACAGATGACAGTATAATATCCTTCGTTCCGTTTTAAACAGTAACCAGTTTAGTTAACTATAAAGCAACGGCTGCACAGTATACTATAATAGATTGACGTCACACTTACAGTGCTCACAGTGCATATCGGAACATAGCTTATGTTTCGAGAGATTATTAATATTTCATCTTCTACGGCTTGTATGGCCTATTGGCGAGTAACAATGGAACTTCAGACTAAAGTAATGAAATTAAGGCTTCATTTGACTTGTGACATTGAAAGTAGATACTACATTTTATTTTTTTGAGAATCCATTCGCTTAGTTCGTGTGAGTTGGGTATGACCGTCGCGCACTCTCAAACTTGAGGTCTGTGTCTCAATCTTATTGTATAACGTATAACGTACTCTTGAAATCGAAAATCCATGAGCGTTTAAGACAGAAACTAGCATTTTCACCCGATCGTTCGTGTTATTCTGTTTGTGCTTAATGCGAGCTTTTTAACGATTTCGATAGCGTAAAAGTTAACTAAAATTTGGATGCAGTTGCAAAAGCGCCCCTAACAGTAAACGTAGACAAACGTTCCAACTCCATACGAATTAGAGTTAACTTTCACGCTATCGAGAACGTTAAACAACTAGCAATAAACACACTGGACCATTGACTGCCAGGTCTATATCATATGCAATGTTTTTTTTTTATTGCTTAGATGTGTGGACGAACTCACAGCCCACCTGGTGTTAAGTGGTTACTGGAGCCCATAGACATCTACAACGTAAACGCGCCACACACCTTGAGATATAGTTCTAAGGTCTCAGTATTGTCACAACGGCTGCCCCACCCTTCAAACCGAAACGAATTACTGCTTCACGGCAGAACTAGGCAGGGTGGTGGTACCTACCCGAGCGGACTCACAAGAGGTCCTACCACCAGTAACAGAAATAGGTAATAAAATTAAATAGAAAATCCATTCTGGACGAACTTAACGTAAAATTCGTTCATAGTGAACCCCCTATATTTTGAATACTCCTATCAAAGATTCCTATACCAAATTGATAGTGGATCGGACATATAGTTTCGGAGATCTATCTGCTTACTGCGAGCTTTTTAATGTTCTCGATAGCGTAAGGGGCGCTGTTCCAACGGCACACAATTTTGAGTTAACTTTTACGCTAACGAGAACGTTAAAAAACTCGCACTAAGCACACTGATGATGATCGTGGTACTTTGATCTATACTAATATTATAAAGAGGAAATATTTGTTTGTTTGTTTGTATTGAATAGGCTCTGAAACTACTGAAGCGATTTGAAAAATTCTTTTACTGTTTGGAAGCTACACTATTCACGAGTGACATAGGCTATAATCCTTTTTGAAAAAATTTGGGATCCTTACTAAAACTCCAAGAATGTAACCCAAGGTGTAAAAAAAATACTTAAAATATTCTTTACATCGCGTGCCCTTGCGGAAACTGTTGATGATAGAATAAAATAATGTACTACGACTTTGTAGAACACATTTTTATTTACAAAAAGTATCACGACAGCATAAGTCTAACTATTATAGTTATGCCGAAATAAGTGTTCTTTTATTTCAAAAAATAAAACAACGTCAAATATCGTTCAATTTTTTGTTTGAGACCCGAGCGGAGCCGGAGCGGACCGCTAGTCGTATATAGGTCAAATTTACGTTTTGTATGACAAGATAACTATTTCATTTCTGTCAATGTATTGGCTTCATTCAAGCCTTATCACAGCGACCAGTTACTTGGATCCAGCGGGCTCTCGTGACCTTCAAGGGGTCGTCGGTCTATCTTGTGGGAAGCCCACGCACTCTACCCTTGGCTGTGGCTTTGTTAAAGAATACCACCTCTTCATCTCTCTTCTTGTATGACAGGTACTGATTCTTCTAATGAAATACGTGCTTAACACATGCTCACGAATGACTTCTAAGATGAAGGAATAACGTCATTTAATAAAAACTATAGTCGAAATACGACTATAATTAATTGAAATCATAACTTTGTACACTATTATTATTATTATTGCTTTGATGGGTGGACGAGCTCACAGCCCACCTGGTGTTAAGTGGTTACTGGAGCCCATAGACATCCACAACGTAAATGCGCCACCCACCTTGAGATACAAGTTTTAAGGTCTCAAGTATAGTTACAACGGCTGCCCTACCCTTCAAACGGAAACGCATTACTGCTTCACGGCAGAAATAGGCAGGGTGGTGGTACCCACCCGCGCGGACTCACAAGAGGTCCTACCACCAGTAAAATTATGATTCTATTGTCAAAGATTAAACTTCTATAATCACAGATTCCGCTAAGACTACCTACACCTTAGATAAATATTAATAAAGACAAATAATATTTAATCTATTCTCAATTTGACCACAGACTACAAGCAATAAGAAAAGTTTGACAATAAACAAATAGTATGCATGCGTGTGTGTGTCAAATACATGGTAGTGTGTGTAATGTTTTTTTTGTGATTTAATATATTATTAAAGCGTAATTTAAAAAAAAATCTAATTCTGCACTTCTTCTCTTATTCTCTTCTTCTTCTATATTCTTCTTCTATATTCTCTATAAGTATGGCAAATTTCATATTCCTCCGTCCGCGCAATATTCGTAAAAAGGGGTACAAAGTTTTGCTTCACGTATTAATATATACATGTAAACCTAATTCTAATTTTGGTAATTAACTTAATAATTAATTAATTTTTTAACGTTAATAATTTAATAATATTTAGTATGAATTATATTAAATAATAATTTTGTCATTTATATTACTAAAAAATTAATGCTAATAACACTTTTTTTTACGAGTGTACATGCGCGAAAGTTCACCTGCGGCTATATTCAGACTCGCTAAGTTACGTCGGTCGTATTGTAATGAGCGATTTAGTGGGCAACTTCATTCTGTTAATTTTGTGTCACGGTGCGCGCGCATCGTAAAATTTCACTCTCATCAATTTTTCATAACGCGCCTAAAGAAGTATAACTTCAAAAATAAAACTGAAGTTTAATATTCTTTTAATCATTCCAGGTGTTCACAAACGCTACTCCCGAGCACTGGTGTGCGCCACCTCCAGAACTCGAGGCTCTGAGCCTTCCACGAGACCTGGTGCGCTCTCTGACGATACCAAAAGTACCAGGAGAACATAGCTCGTATGAAACTTGCCGTGAATACGCCGTTGACCCACACGCGTTGTTCGAAGAATTGAAAGAGTTTGTTGTAGAAAGGTAGAATATTTTTGTGTCTAAAATTTTATACAGGCAATGTACTGCTTCTGTATTCTTCAAAATTCCCGTCTTTTAGAAAATTCCACAGAAGGAAACTGACGCGTGAAGTCTTTTGGGAAACGTATATGAAAAATAGAAGAGAAAAAATGATTATAAGACAAAAAAAGCAACACAATACGCACATATGTATATATATAATCACCGCTATTTATTATCAATATAATTTTTGATTTACATAGAATTAATTCGTTTTAAATTCAATAATAAATAAATAAATATTTACTAACAATCACGCCACGTTAACTGGTCCCGTGATAAGTTCGTAAAGAACTTGTGTTACAGGTACCAGATAACGGAAATAAATGTAAGATTTTTATTATACACATACACATATTTAATATACATCCATAAACCTGGAAAAGACATTTTATATTTATCATACAAATATCTTCCCTTGGCGGGATTCGAACCCGCGACCCCCTTTTGCAGTGACCATGTCACTTGCCACTACATCAGACGGCCGTTATGTCAATAATCTTAACAAATCAAAATTATTTAACATATGTCAATTCATACAGTAGAACAAATCTTCCAATGCGCTTGAAGGAGGGACAGTTCCCAAGGTATTGGCTGCGTTACCTCGTTGGACATCCAGACTCACTCTCTGTGCAAAGTACCAGCCAGCCTTAGTATCACGAGGGACTTCCTTTAAATGTTTGGAGATTTTTGAAAAAAAAAAAATTGTTCAAAATTTCATTTCCATATGCTACAAGTTTATCTTACTATACATTTACTTGACGTTTTCAGTTCGAAGGCTATCAGAGAAGGAGGCGCGTTACATGTCGTGAACACACGTCAATTGTTTTTGTCCAATGACGAAAACGAAAGGAAATTGCAGGTAAATTATTGCTTAATGACTTTCAATTTTTAAGTTCATGTTATCTTATATATAAACCCTTATCATTAAGGCCGTTGGTGAATGTGTGTTAAGTATATCATTGCTTGAAGAAATCTGTATCGGAATTTGGAATGTAATCACTGTCTACCGGTACACGTCTCAAGATCTAAGGTAGTTTCGGTAACCACTTAACAGCAGGTGGGGATTCGTTCGTCTACCCATCATCTAAACATTTAAAAAGACACTTTGTACGTAAATGACAAAGGGAAGATCTTCCACCGAGCGGGTGATAATATTGCTCGGTAGACCGACGGTCCAAATGTTGTTTTTTTTTCCTACCTATTCTGATAGCCTTGAGAGGATATTTCAGATTCTCCTTGACGTGTAGGTGAGCTCACGGGGCTCAAACCGGAAGTGTTGCTAACACTTTCCTTAGCAAGAGCAGTCCTTCGCAGAATCTACCACCGGATCGGAAACGCGACCCACTGAGAAGATCCGGCGAGAGACTCAGTGGGCTAACCGAATGTTGTTCGGAACTTGTATTTAAGCAAGCTTATCTTGAAAATGTCGTAAGCGAGATTCAGACATCTGTCAAACGTCTTGTGTTGTATGATGGCTACCCGCCACAACACCAATACTAATTCAATCATTAAATATTGTATCAAGGCAATATTATTAATATTAATAAATAAATATTACCCTAAATGAATATATTACTTACTCTAAGTCAGCAAATGTGATTAAAAAGTAAAAAAAAAACTCCGTTGAAATTCATTATTTTAAAGTAAGTACACTGCATTCTTGAACATTTATTTTTATTTATTTTTTATTGGTTAGAATGGGTGGACGAGCTCACAGCCCACCTGGTGTTAAGTGGTTACTGGAGCCCATAGACATCTACAACGTAAATGCGCCACCCACCTTGAGATATAAGTTCTAAGATCTCAGTATAGTTGCAACGGCTGCCCCACCCTTCAAACCGAAACGCATTACTGTTTCACGGCAGAAATAGGCGGGATGGTGGTACCTACCCGTGCGGACTCACAAGAGGTCGTCTACCCATCTAAGCAATAAAAATAAATAAAAAATAATAATATTAAAATGATAATAATAAAACGAAATTTAGTCGTAAAATTGGTTTCGATTAAAAACGATAGTCTGTTCATGGGTCTTACTAAAGTGGAATTAGAGAAATTTGGTTCATTTTAATTGTAGATCTCCAAAGTGGAAGGAGCTATTCTATCGATCAGAGATAACTCCACGTCACCGTGTTCTCGCGGCTGGACTTACAGCACAGAGCATTACAAAAGGACGCTTGTTACTGACGTGAGTTTTATCTGAGAAAATAATTTTAATGGTTTAATTCGATAAGGCTATGCGTCATGATAATCGCCTTACCGTTGCCGCCGCTGACTACTCCCCGAATCCTAATCTGTTAGAGAATGCCAATGGCGTTAAGTCCGCCTTTATACTTTCTAGTATAAGAAGTTATAAATAAATAAATAAATAAATTCTAAGGTCTCAAGTATAGTTACAACGGCTGCCACACCCTTAAAACCGAAACGCATTACTGCTTCACGGCAGAAATAGGCAGGGTGGCAGTACCCACCCGGTTTGTTTTATTGCTTATGTGGGGATACTAAATCCCGACCTGTCTGATGTAAGTGGTTACCGGAGCTCATAGATATCAACATGGTAATAGCCACCAACTCACCTTGAGGCATTAGTTCTAACTCTTTGTTTTTAAAGTACAACGGCTGCTCCACCCTTCAAACCGAAACCCATTACTGCTACACGGCAGAAATGGGCAGAATCGTGGTACCTACCCGTGCAAGCTCATACGACGTCTAGCGTCCCAGTATTCCTTTTCCAGACTGGAGCTCCTTTTAAGTATCGTGAATCTTGAGATTACGTTTCAAACATTTTTGTAAAGTATATAAAAACCGTTACTTCCAGTTTTCCTTGGTCTGTGACAAGGAATGGCTGCCACGGACCAGCAATACCCTGTTCTGGGTTGGCTCCATCTTCGGGAATTTGTTCTTCGGGTGGATGTCGGACAGGTATATGGTGATTAAAAAAAAGGATGATTTTTACACGCTTTATATTAGCTTCAATTGTATGTATGTTTGTAACTGACTCCTTTAGACGCTATTTTGACCCACTTTAAACGGCCAGATTTCATTCAAACCTTGTACATTTATCGAGGACCGATGACAATACACTAATTTATAGACTATACGAATAACAAGAAACGAATGAAGGAGACGGTGTTAACTAAAGAAAGGCGAATAAATAACAGTTTAAAAAAACTAAAAAAAAAACGCTTTTATAGAAAATCCCACTAAAAATAGAAAATAAATCTTAATAAATTTGAATTAAAAATAGTGTAAGAAAAAATAATTTTATTGTAAAAAAAGCGTGGGGTGCTTTTCAGGATAATATTAAAATAACCCTTCTACTCATATCTGTTCATAAAATATTTATAACTACTGATACCATGCACCCCACGCTTTTTTTTAGTTTTTTTTTAATTATTATTTATTTTACATTTTTTAGTTGAATTTCATTTTTTTCAATATTTTTTTATATTGAATTGTCATTTTTCCTTAATAAGTTATACCAAATTTCGAGTTAATCAGACGTTTTGAAGGGGGTCAAAATCATGGTCAAAAATTCCATTACATACTAACATACATATTTTATGTCTGAAGCTAATAAAAGCGTGTTAAAAAAGATGATTTTTCGCCTGTCTTTAATTACATCGTCTCTTTCATTCGTTTCTTTTTACTCGTATCGGATCGCCAAAGGTATCAGCATTATATGGACATGGCTATCGACACTGAGGTATACCCATATCAATATCTATTTAGAATTAGATTCTCTTTAAAACGCTAAAAGTAAGAGAGTTTTTACCATCGTTTTTACCATCGCACCGCCCGCCACCGGAGTAGGGTTCATCCATACTACCTGGAGCTACTGCGGTCACAGTACGTTTCCAGAGATCTTTTTTGCCACGTACCATCCGGCTATGGAATAAGCTCCACTCCACGGTGTTTCCCGAGCGCTATGACATGTCCTTCTTCAAACGAGGCTTGTGGAGAGTATTAAGTGGTAGGCAGCGGCTTGGCTCTGCCCCTGGCATTGCTGAAATCCATGGGCGACGGTAACCACTCACCATCAGGTGGGCCGTATGCTCGTCTGCCTACAAGGGCAATAAAAATAAAAAGAGTCTATGAAGACTCAGTTCATATCCCTAGAGGGGCTATTCACTATAATGTCTGGTCTCTAGTCACCCCTTCACACCTAGCGTCCGAGAATCAACGGGGCAACCTAACAAAACCTTAGCCACGACCTCAAAATGGCCTTGATGAGCTCAATCAAAGACGTTTTGTTCAAACAATAATTTTTTTCTCAGATACGGTCGACGTCCAACGATTCTACTGATGATCTTCCTGGAAGTTCCCCTGGCGATATCCGCGTCCTTTGCCACCACCTACTGGACGTATATCGTGCTGAGAGTGGCCGGAGGACTATTCTTCCCGGCTCTCTACCAGCTACCGTTCATACTGGCCTTGGAGCTTATGCCTCCTGGAAGAAGAAACATTGCCGGTATATTGTTATCTATGATTATCTGATAATAGGTCATTTTAATCCATTTATGCTAATAGGGTAAATACGGGCTTTCACGCGCTTATGGCCTAGTGGCTCCAAAGGAAGGTCTCGATGTTCTCGGCTTCAAATTTTTTTTTATTGCCCTTGTAGACAGACGAGCTTACGGCCCACCTGATGGTGAGTGGTCACCGTCGCCCATGGACTTCAGCAATGCCAGGGGCAGAGCCAAGCCGCTGCCTACCTGCCTTCCTGCTATTGGGGCTGTTTCACAAAATACCAGCTAAAGGATCGTGGGGTCGATTCAATTACCGTTCAGAGCTGAAGTTCGTTTGGTATCAACAAACGAAAATATTTTTTATTTTCTATTTACTACCACCACAAATTATTACATTATATTTTCAAGGAATTGTCGTCGGGATGCTGTTCGCCACCGGCATGTGTCTACTCTCTCTGCTGGCCTACGCCGTAAGGGACTGGTACCATCTATCGCTGGTCACTAGTCTGCCTTTCCTGCTGCTGTACGGGTGAGTGTCAGCCACAATATCGGATAGAAGGAATCATCGCAAAATAGGGGTACCGGATAAAGATATGAAAAAAGTGTCATACCGCAGTCTGCGTGAGGGCTGAAACTGGGCCCCCGGTGGAGGTTATGGGGCGACCGGAGGGGATCCAGGTCTTGCGGCGCGCTACCAGGACTCCAGCGAGTCTAGTTGTCATATAACACGCGAGCATCGAGGTGGCGGCGTATCGCGTTCTGGTCCAGTGGGGTATTCGGGGACACTAGCAAGTTTAGGAGCCAGTCTTAAGCTGGGAAATAACATTAATGTCGCAATATCTACGGCATTTGGTAACCACTTAACGTGAGCTCGTTTTATCGTAATGCTATGCGCGTTTCAGATATTACTGGCTGATACCAGAGTCTCCGAGATGGTTGGTCGGCAGAGGCCGTATCGCTGAAGCTGAAAAGGTGCTACGGGACCTCGCTAAGAAAAACGGAATACGGTTACGGAAAGGGTTCCTCCTGGAGCTACACGTGAGTAGCGTGGCTAAATAAATCTCGAGTACAGAAGAGAAGGAAAATCAGATTGGCTGTTGCGAGACCACACGCGGGAGGCACTGTTGTTACTCCCTTAACACGTAGACTTAAAGATTATATTTCACTGGTCAATTCAAATTGGTTGCCAACCAGTATAGAACTATCCGATGGACGGATGGCCTCACGACCCAGCTGGTGTTAAGTAGTTATTGATGCCCATGGACATCAACCACGTAAATGCCGTCACCTATTTTGAGACAAGTTGTAAAATCTCTGTTACACAGTACAACGGCTGCCCCACCCTTCAAACCGAAACGCATTACTTCACTGCCGAAATATGCAGGGTGGTGGCACCTACCCGTGCGTACTCACAAGAGGTCCTACCACCAGTAATTACGTAAATTATAATTTAGCGGGTTTGATTTTTATTACACAATGTCATTCCTTGATTGTGAAACATTTGTCGAGTACGAATTTCATTTAAAAACCCGGTACGTGCCTGCGTTCTGACGCCTTATCTTCTCCGAACGTCTGACCTTTTAGGCCACTACGACTTCTAAAAAATACATACACACTCCTGAGATACTTACAGAACCTTCTTCAATTTTCGCGAGACCTAGATATATAATTAAAACAACTATATCTCACAATGTTAGCCCGATGTGGGAATCGAACCCACGACCCTTGGCGCAACAGTCACAGGCGCTAATTACTGCACCACCGAGCCAATCAAAGTACTTTTAATCATTTCATGGATTGTCTGACAAAATGCTCCTTGAAGTTGCGTTAAGCATAATGAGACTTAAATTCCACAGAAGAAAACAAAAGAAGAAGAAGATGCAGCAGAAATGACCTGCGTGTCCAACGGGCACTACGGCAGAATTACGAAAGATGACCTGGACAGAAGGATCAGCAACATGCTGACCTTCCGTCCGGATCTTACCAGGATCGCAGAAACCGTAGGAAGTAAAAATGACGATTTAGAACGAACTTTCGCGCTGGAACTCACCGAAAGAGAAATCAAATCTAAAACAAAAGAATACGAAAGAGACGACAATAGAGAGTTCAATGATGAAGGTAATTTATTTCGTACATTAGTCGATGCATCGTTGGCTATCTATATATATAGAAAATATATAAAAAGGAATTGCTGTTCGTTAGTCTTTTTGTTTGGATGGGCGAGCTCACACCCCACCTGGTGTTAAATGGTTACTGGAGCCCATAGACATCTACAACGTAAATGCGCCACCCACCTCGAGATATAAGTTCTAAGATCTCAGTATAGTTACAACGGCTACCCCACCCCTCGAACCGAAACGCATTACTGCTTCACGGCGGAAATAGGCGGGGTGGTGGTACCTACCCGCGCGGACTCCCAAGAGGTCCTACCACCAGTGATTACGCAAATTATAATTTTGCGGGTTTGATTTTTATTACACGATGTTATTCCTTCACCGTGGAAGTCAATCGTGAACATTTGTTGAGTACGTATTTCATTAGAAAAATTGGTACCCGCCTGCGGGATTCGAACACCGGTGCATCGCTACATACGAATGCACCGGACGTCTTATTCTTNCCTACCACCAGTGATTACGCAAATTATAATTTTGCGGGTTTGATTTTTATTACACGATGTTATTCCTTCACCGTGGAAGTCAATCGTGAACATTTGTTGAGTACGTATTTCATTAGAAAAATTGGTACCCGCCTGCGGGATTCGAACACCGGTGCATCGCTACATACGAATGCACCGGACGTCTTATTCTTTAGGCCACAACGACTTCAAGTCTCGCTAAAACTTGAGAACGGGTGGATCGATTTGGCTAATTTTGGTCTTGAATTATTTGTGGAAGTCCAGATAAGGTTTAAAAGGTAGATAAATGAATGAAAATGCTCGGAATTAAATAAAAATAACAATTTTGTTTTTCCTTCTTTGATGTGTCCCCCGTCGGACGGATTCCTTTTGTTTGTTTTAAGTTTATTTTATACAAAAGTTTAGGTCCTTTATTTATCGATTGAGGCACTACAAAGTCTGCCGAGTCAGCTAGGTTTTACTGGTTTTTTTACTGGATCTCTTGTGAGTCCGCACGGGTAGGTACCACCGCCCTGCCTATTTCTGCCGTGAAGCAGTAATGCGTTTCGGTTTGAAGGGTGGGGCAGCCGTTGTAACTATACTAAGACCTTATAACTTATATCTCAAGGTGGGTGGCGCATTTACTTTGTAGATGTCTATGGGCTCCAGTAACCACTTAACACCAGGTGGGCTGTGAGCTCGTCCACCCATCTAAGAAAAAAAAAGTCACTAATAAATATCGATAAATGCCTATCCAATTTAAATTAATTAATTTGTCGAGCAGATTCGCAGCAGAAGTGGACTCAAACGGATTTCAAGTCACCTGGAGATACACTAAGAAGGAAATCCTTACAGCTTGTTAGTAAGATATTCATCCAAGAAGATGAAGTAGACGTGATGGAAAACAAGAGAATGGATGATCAGAACTCCGAGGGTGACTGTAAGGCCTCCCCGCTGGATGTGTTCAGATACCCCAATCTCAGGAGGAAGTTCTTGATTTTGACTTTTGACTGGGTCTCTCTGGGCGTGGTCTACAACAGTCTCAGCTACAATACTCCCAACTTGGGCGTCGATGATTACTTGGCGTTCTTTATTGGTGAGGCTTTTGCTAAGTTGCATGCGAACTAAAAATCCACTTGAGTCTCTGAAGAGAGCACGCTGGCAGCCCGTGGAAATCACGACATCTAACTGACATCTTTGGGACATGAGGTGCCCCACGTCGATAACCCACGTCGGCTCTCCTTCCCTTTAAATTGAAACGCTCATCTGCTTCGCTACAAAAATAAACAGGACGGTGGTACCTACCCGTGTGGACCTACAATACCTTACCACCTACTGCTGTCTCCTTCTAAGCAACAAGTTTTCACACTTACTATTATTGAACCGGTTCTTATTGTGACGTCTGCATTTAACGAGCTCCTGGTGTCCCGGCGTGCCGCGGTCACGGGTAGACTCATAACAAAAATATCGCGGCAAAAACCCGTTAAACAATAGTGTGTCAAATTCAAATTCAAACTCAAAATCATTTATTTCAACTTAGATGTCAGTATAACACACTTGTTGAATGTCAAAATATAAATAACACTACCACACTTACTGAACTTTTGCTGTCCACATTCAATTTCTGTTTTAAAAAATACATTGAAAGCGCCGCTAATCGTACAGTTTTGATCCTGACCCTCAGGCGGCGCGGTGGAGCTCCCGTCCTACGTCCTGGCGTGGCGATGCATGGAGAGGCTCGGCAGGCGCTGGGTGCTCTGCGCCTTCATGTGCGTCGGTGGCCTGGCCTGTCTCAGCTGCGTGCTCGTGCCGGAGTGTGAGTCGACTTTCAATATCTCCCACTAACGACCACCGGTAACAATATGCGCTAATGTACAAGCTCCTTCTCATCTCGACTCATGTGGTCGAAGTTTTGAATGTTCACCAAACTGGAATGAACGTGTGGTTTGTTATTTACTCTGCGTATTGGAGGGAAACTTTCACAGAGAAATAGGCAGGGGGTGGTACCTACCGGCGCGGACTCACAAGAGATCCTTCCGCCAGTAATTACGAAAATTATAATTTTGCGGGTTCGATTTTTATTATACGATTTTATTCCTTCACCGTGGAAGTCAATCGTGAACGTTTGTTAAGTACGTATTTCATTATTGAAATTGGTACCCGGCTGCGGGATTCGAACACCGTTGCATCGTTAGATACGAATGCACCGGACGTCTTATCCTTAACAGTCATAAATAGCTCCAGTAAGACACAGTGCCTCGGATTGAACGGTACATTTCATGTCTATGGGCTCCGGACGAACTTAGATAGGCCTCGAACTCGTCTTGAGCAATGAGATTTAATAAATTTTAGTAAATAAAGCAGGGGGTCAATCGCATTGAAGTAAGGCAGGTCGCGGCGCGCTGCTATAAAGCGCCGCTTATTTAGATATTCCTAAAAGGGATAGGACCTACCAAAATGTAATCTCAGCACCATCATCACGTCGTCACGTCACGTCACGTCACGTCCGAAGTCGTCGTGGCCCAAAGGATAAAGACGTCCAGTGCATTCGTGTTGAGCGATGCACCGGTGTTCGAATCCCGCAGGCGGGTACCAATTTATCTAATGAAATACGTACTCAACAAATGTTCACGATTGACTTCCACTGTGAAAGAATAACATCGTGTAATAAAAATCGAACTCGCAAAATTGTGATTTCCCTAATTACTGGCGGTAGGCTATTGTGAGTCCTCACCCTGCCTATTTCTGCCGTGAAGCAGTAATGCGTTTCGGTTTGAAGGGCGGGGCAGCCGTTGTAACTATACTTGAGACCTTAGAACTGATATGTCAAGGTGGGTGGCGCATTTACGTTGTAGATGTCTATGGGCTCCAGTAACCACTTAACACCAGGTAGGCTGTGAGCTCGTCCACCCATCTAAGTAATAAAAAAAACAAAAAAGGTAACAGTCACGTCCTCAGCACTGCGGGAGCGCCTGACGAGGAATACTTCCGAACCAAACGAACCAATCTCTTTCAGCGTGGCCCTGGATAACGGTGTCTCTAGCGATGCTCGGCAGGCTGTGTGCCGCGTCATCCTTCGCAGTCTTCTACGTGATGATCGGAGAATTGCTGCCCACTGTACTGAGAGCCCAGGCGATGGGCACGGCCTCCTTCATATCGGGTCTCGGCTTGCTGGCCTGCCCGTATATCGTTCACTTGGTGAGTTCAACTTTGTTATTCGCCTTGTACTAATTTTTTTTATTGCTAAGGAGCCCATAGACATCTACAGCGTAAATGCGCCACCCACCTTGAGATATAAGTTCTAAGGTCTCAAGTATAGTTACAACGGCTGCCCCACCCTTCAAGCCGAAACGCATTACTGCTTCACGGCAGAAACAGGCAGGATGGTGGTACCTACCCGCGCGGAATCACAACAGGTCCTACCCCCAGTAACTACGCAAATTATAATTTTGCGGGTTTGATTTTTATTACGCGATGTCAGTCCTTCACCGTGGAAATCAATTGTGAACTTTTGTTGAGTACGTATTTCATTAGATAAATTGGTACCCAACAGCCTGGGGTTCGAGCACCGGTGCGTCGCTCAACACGATTGCACCAGAGGTCTTATCCTTTAGGCCACGACGACTTCAGTTTTCGTTATAAATTTATTAAGAACCTCTTTGTGATAATGTAGTCCTGGTACTTAGTTTCCTATTTGTAGGCGATCTACGCGCGAGCTTTGCCGCTGATCATCATGGGTATACTGAGCGTCGTGGGCGGGATCACGTCGCTGTTCCTGCCCGAGACCCTGAACCAGCCTTTGCCTCAAACGCTGGGAGACGGAGAAAGATTCGGAAGAGATTTCAAAATATTAAGTTGTGTCGAAAGACCGAAGAAATTACGACGCGTCGCTTCTGACGTCCTGGTACTCTGATCGCATTTGAAGGGTAAATTGTAATTGAAAGATTGGTATCTTCAAACGTCTCAAATGTCTCAAATTAATGTTCATGATAGAATAACATAAGCGTAGGATGATAAGCTTATAAATAAATATGTAAATATAGATGTTAGTCATTAAAGAAAAAAACAATAAATATTAACAAATATAGATTTTGTTTCATTGTCTACATCCTCTTGAAGTCTTAATGTCGTGTAATAAATACTAGAGGTCCCGTAGTAGTCGAAATTCGACTATAATTAATTGGAATTGTAAGTTTGTACACTATTATCATTGTATTTTATACTTCTATAATCACAAATTTCGCAAAAACTACACTATAAAAAATATTAACAAAGAAATATTAAATAATGAATCTTAATTTGACAACAGACGTCAAGAACAAAATTTTGACAATAAATAGCATGCATGCCTGTGTGCGTAAAATACATGGTATGTAGTGTGTGTAATATTTTCTTTATTGATTTAATGTATATTTATGCATTATTTGAAAAAAATATTAGCATTGTGCACTTCTTCTCTATATTCTCTATAAGTGTGGAAAATTTTATACTCCTCCGTCCGCGCAATTTTCGTAAAAAGGGATACAAAGTTTTTGCTTCACGTATTAATATATAGATTACTCTCGCAGAAAATGTAATCCCGCTGAGTTTCTCGCCGGATCTTCTCAGCGAGCCGCGATTCCGATCCGGTAGTAGATTCATTCGCGAAACAATTGCTCTTGAGTTGTTAGGTCTCCTTCGGAGGCGCTCGGGCAGTTGTTAGCAAATCCCACCCCTCTTGGCTGAGCCTTTGCTCGCCCACCTGTCCTGGTGAAACTGGAAAGGCCTTCGGGCCACCAGTAAAGTTTCAATCATAAAAAAAAAAAAAAAAAAAAAAATAAANCGATTCCGATCCGGTAGTAGATTCATTCGCGAAACAATTGCTCTTGAGTTGTTAGGTCTCCTTCGGAGGCGCTCGGGCAGTTGTTAGCAAATCCCACCCCTCTTGGCTGAGCCTTTGCTCGCCCACCTGTCCTGGTGAAACTGGAAAGGCCTTCGGGCCACCAGTAAAGTTTCAATCATAAAAAAAAAAAAAAAAAAAAAAAAATTGTAATTTGAGTTCCAGTTTAAAACGTGAAGAGGGTATTTAGACTAGAAAATTGAGTCCTAGACCTCAAGGTATATGGTGGGTGGCGGCATTCACGTTGTGGTGAGATGTATGATCAGCACTTAACACCAAACGGATCGTGATGCCTGTACACCATCAAATTAACCTCTATTCTTCCTCAACCTGTCTACCCAATGCTGAGTGTAGGTCCCTTCATATGCACTCCATTATTATCGATCTCTTGCCTTCAGTCAGTCAGTTAGCATTCAGTCATCCTCACTGTTATTGAAATGAAATTATAATACAGAGTCGTGCCACAAAAAACATTTATTTATATATTAATACGTGAAGCAAAAACTTTGTATCCCTTTTTACGAAAATTGCACGGACGGAGGAGTATGAAATTTTCCACAGTTATAGAGAAAATAGAGAAGAAGTGCACAATGCAATTTTTTTTTAAATAATGCCTAAAATATACATTAAATCAATAAAGAAAACATTACACACACTACATACCATGTATTTGAGGCACACACGCATGCATACTATTTATTGTCAAACTTTTGTTCTTGACGTCTGTTGTCAAAATGAGATTAAATATTGTTTGTCTTTGTTAATATTGTTTATAGTGTAGTCTTGGCGAAATTTGTGATTATAGAAGTATAAAATACAATCGTAATAGTTTACAAACTTACAATTCCAATTAATTATAGTCGAATTTCGACTACTGCGGAACCTCTAGTTAAATATTCAAACACGAATCATACGGATTGTGCTACTTATGATTGTTCGGGAGATTCAAACAAGCAACTCTCACGGGCAGTCAAGATTTAACAATATGAAAGTTTTATTTATTTGTTGGTAGGTGGGTCGACCAGCTCACGGTCCACCTGATCTTAAGTGGCTACCGGAGCCCATAGACATCTACAACGTAAATGTCGCCACCTACCTTGAGATATAAGTTCTAAGTCCACAATCTTACGGCTACCCCTCACTTCAAGCCGAAACGCATTACTGCTTCACGGCAGAAATAAACATGGTGGTGGTACCAGTAAAATGTTGAAACATTCATAGTTTAAAAATTGCGTTTAATATCGATTTTTATTAAGGTTTTCACAATAAATGCGAGAATAATCTGTTAAACAAAATTTTAGTTATGTATTCGATTGGCGAAAACCGGCGAGAACGCGCTACGTGTCAAGTTTCGAATGTGAAAACTTATTTATAATCCATATCGTCTGAATCATCGTGTTGAGCGATGCACCGGTGTTCGAATCTCGCTGGCGGGTACCAATTTTTCTAATGAAATACGTACTCAACAAATGTTCACGATTGACTTCCACGGTGAAGGAATAACATCGTGCAATAAAAATCAAACCCGCAAAATTATAATTTGCGTAATTACTGGTGGTAGGACATCTTGTGAGTCCGCGCGGGTAGGTACCACCGCCCTGCTTATTTCTGCCGTGAAGCAGTAATGCGTTTCGGTTTGAAGGGTGGGGCAACCGTTCTGACTATACTGAGACCTTAGAACTATATCTCAAGGTGTGTGGCGCATTTACGTTGTAGATGTCTATGGGCTCCAGTAACCACTTAACACCAGGTGGGATGTGAGCTCGTCCACACATCTAAGCAATAAAAAAAAAAAAAAAAAATTCAAATTCAAATTCAAAATCATTTATTTCAACTTAGATGTCAGTATAACACACTTGTTGAATGTCTATAAATAACAATGTTAACTCTACCAAAAAAGTCACAGTCCTGAGAAGAACCGGCGAAACAAACTCAGCGGGCTTTTTTTTTTATTTTTGTCTCAAATATATATACATATATATATATTTTTAAATAAGTAAAAATATTTCCGCCGCCGGCAACGCATATAAACTGTGTGAGTTTTAAAACCCCGTAAGGATTATTACTCCTGCCCATCCTGACATGGCGCGGCCTGACAACGTTGCATCAATACTGAGACATTACAGAAATTTCAGTTCATCAGGACTACTAGTTTATTTATTACGACAAAACACAAGTTTTTTTTATTGTACTAACTAGCTGACCCGACAGACTTCGTAGTGCAACAATCGATAAATAAAAGACCTAAACTTTTGTACCTATAATATAAACTTAAAACAAACAAAAGGAATCCGTCCGACGGGGGACACATCAAAGTAAAAACAAAATTGTTATTTTTATTTAATTCCGAGCATTTTCATATTTATTTACCTTTTAAACCTTTTCTGAACTTCCACAAATAATTCAAGACCAAAATTAGTCAAATCGGTCCAGCCGTTCTCGAGTTTTAGCGAGACTAACGAACAGCAGTTCATTTTTATATATTGTACTAATAACACTAAATTAGATTAATAGATTTCGTTATCTCAGCAACAAAGTTCGAATCTACAAGGTTTGGTTTTCGCAAGGATTCACTGGTAGCTGTTGCCCTTTGTTGAATTGATAGGCAAGCGAACTCTTAATGTACTCCATAGACATCACGATATGAATGCAGCCACTCATCTCGGTGAAGGCCTAATGCTTAATTTAGTCTTAACTGATGTGTTCAATACAGTGGCAAATGAAAAAGTTAATTTTGGAAAACTACAGTTTGCACTCATCTCGGTGCTTAATTTAGTCTTAACCGATGCGTTCAATACAGTTGCAAATGAAAAAGTTCATTTTGGAAAACTACAGTTTGCACTCATCTCGATGCTTAATTTAATCTTAACTGATGCGTTCAATACAGTTGCAAATGAAAAAGTTCATTTTGGAAAATTACAGTTTGTGGCATTCCAATCGTTCGACTTGGCGACTGAATTCTGTGTTCGTGTGACTAATCCAAGTCATAAATATCATTAGTCGCCCGAGAGAACGTCGTGATGTGAAACTGTAAGAGTACAATAGTGTAGGTTGTGGTCGCTTGCAACAGCCACTGCGGTAGCGCCGCGCCGACCTCACACAGGCCACAAGCCGTTGTCTTTCTGACCGAACACGAAGATACACGAATTATGTTCTTCCATATCTTTAATTCTCGTTCTGAAAATGTAATCAATAAATAATAATGAGAATCGGGAACAAATAACGCCCGGTCATCTGGACCAAATTTAGAATTCCCCGTGTTATGGGTACCTACCAGAGACTGACAATCATTTATATATGTCGGCGCAACGTAACTATTAATTTACCTAAAAATAGTTAAAGTTAGCTGTTTCCTTCATGATACGTATGTCAACAATTGTTTAAGACGGTATTCAAGAGAATTCATGACTAAGCTACCCTCACTTTTCACTGTAACTACGAACGACTTTTGTCGCACAAAGCATTCTGGCTCGAACAGTCGGACGGAGCGGAGCTCTCTGTTGTTATCGCATAAGCATATTTTTTAAAATTTTCAAACTAAGTATGTTATTTGTAATAAATATATTCTATTTACGAGATCGGCAAAAGGGCATACACATTTTGATTCATTATATTTAGAACGTGTAAACCTGAATTACATACCACTCGGATTGTCGCTTGAGACCAAAATAATGCATACAGTTTCAATTTCCCGAAGTTTCTCGTAAAAAATTTCCATTTCGAAGCTCAATATTGATAATGTGATAAACTTCTTTACGATCCACACGCAAATCAATTGGAAAGCGTGAAGCATTACTGTCTGAAAATAAAATAATCAAAATCATTTGTTGCTACAGTTCGACTTATTGACAGTCAAAATGAACTCTACCACCGGTCACACACAGCCCTGACAAAACAAGCTCAGCTGTTATTGTCTTTATGTTTGTTTTTTATTGCCAACATATTTTTTTATTGCTTATAAGGGTAGACGAGCTCACAGCCCACCTGGTGTTAAGTGGTTATTGGAGCCCATAGACAACATAAATGCATCACCCACCTTGAGTGTGAGTTCTAGGTCTCAGTATAGTACAACGGCTGCCCCACCCTTCAAACCGAAATGCATTGCTGCTTTACGGCAGAAATAGGCAGGGTGGTGATACCCACCCGTGCGGACTCACAAGAGGTCCAACCACCAGTAACTACGTA